CGCCTTCTTGAATAGAATTATAAGAACCTTTTCTGATAGATGCAGTGTGAGCAACCTGCCGTTTATCTTTATAGTTATAAATGGAGCTAGAATAGTGATAAAGCTCACCTAACCACATTAAAATCTGATCAAAAATCAGCTTCTACAGTGTTGTATAAGATTAGACATCACGTTTCTGTAGTATTAGTACTTCTTCATAAACTTGTTAAGATTCCTTCCAGAGACTTTAAAAAAATGAAAAGGTTTGGAATCAGCACTTAAAGACGCATCTATTGAAGCAATACAACTCCAAATGGCTACTTCAAATAGGTTTCATTGATGACAGTGGCGGCCTTTCTCCTGTCCACCATCTCGCTGCCTACACTACGTAGTGGACAAACTGTTGTCAAGGAACTAATCTCCCTATATCTTTGAGTTGCTTGATTTGCAGGTTATGGATCGTGAAATCACCCTTTGTGACGCACATGACGTATCTGAGACTCTGCAGAATAAGTTGGAGCAGCTATCCTTCGTTGAGCGAGCTTTCGTTCATTGTGATTACCAGTTCGATGGGGATGAGCACGTCTGATTCAGAATTTATATATTTATGAAAACATATGTTGCATTGCATAGTGTAAGAATTAAAAAATAAAATTCAGCATATAGTTAATAATCATCCTCATTAAACTCCCAAGAAGTATATCGATCGTGACAATTTTATGACAGTGCTCATTGAATTCCACGATAAGGTCGCGTTGAATCGCTTTATCTACATTAAGCTTATTCTTCATGACTGCCAATTTAGTATCTTCTGCCATATGGAGAGCAGCCGCTGCAAAGAGATGAAGATTTGCGAATATTCTTTTTAAAAAGTTTCAGTAACCATAAAGTTTGAATGATGAAATAATTCTTGATAACGTTTATAATGGATGATATTAAAGAAATAAGTACTTGAGAGGACATGCTTACACGAACATATACGAGCGCATTATATGCATAGTAAAGTGGAACATGTTATCCAAAAAATTGTGTTATAGAACTATTCAGCAGCGCTATCTTGGATCTAAATAAAAAATTCGAAAGTCTAGTTTTATGAATATAAAGGTATTATGGAGATGCTCTGCTCAGTTCTTTGCCTGCTACGCCAGATTTCAAAATTCTAAAAAAATCTTTCTTATATTGCTAGAGAAAATATTGAATTTACATGCGCGAGATGATATAAAGCGTTAGAAGTGTTCAGCTAAATTCAAAGAGCATACCTATCTACCGAAGATCTATCCGCTATTTGGATGCCGACAAATGCCGAATCTTT